TTTCAAAAGAGTTCATTCAGCAGCCATTTGTCTGGTAGATTTTAACTTTTGCAAAAACCTGCCAAAACAGGTGAAGATGGTCTTAATAATTTATGTTTCTACAGGCTAGGTTGAGAGATTGGTGAAAGGCAAAACCCAGTTAAAAAGTTGCTTCATCTAGCTTTTCCCAATAGTTTCCAATTATTCAAAGTAACTATATTATCAAATCTACATACTTGAAATGTCCCTATTAACATGTCATGAGTATTCATGTTTCCAAAGTACATGACCTTTTACCTCAAATAAATATTTCTTTAAAAATTAAAACAAAAAAACTCAACCAGACTAGTCCTCTCTCACTAAAGGTAGAACATCATCGCACAATTTTAGTAATACCTAACCCTTAAAAGAGTATTCTTGGTGATAACAGTTTTCCAACCATTCTATTTCAGACTTCCAATATCCTGTTTAACACCTCCTTTTCAAAGAACTACCAGCATTTACTACCTCCTTCCTTGCCCAGATGGCCATAAAACACACATTTTATCTAAAGCCCAACATTTCCTTCTAATTGCAAACTCAACACAACTGCCACAAACACTATTCCACACATTTAGGGTTTTTAGTTAACTAAGAAAGATCAGACTCTGTTTGTGTTAATCTCTTTAGGACATTTCCTATGTGAGGAAGAAAGGGTCAGAAAGAAGTTATTAATGTCCTGATAAACTTCCACAACAGGCAGTATTTACAGACATTCCATAAAGCCCCAACACAGCAGTCCATTCTCAAGAGCTGTTAGGACATGACAGCTACTCTTGACTCTAACTTTGCTAAACAGAATAACGAACCTCCTATCTGAAACTCCCTCTACAAAACTAGTGGTGCCTCTCCAAAGCATAAAACAAATTAATTGTGTTTGTCTGTTTTTGTGGTGCTGGTGATTGAACTCCAGGCTTCATTTGCACTAGGGTAAACACTCTACCATCAAGTTATACCTCAGCCCACAGGTAATTTTGTAAAGTGAGGAAAAACTCTTCCATCCTCTTATTTTTTTAAGAAAACAAAACCATTTTTTTGTTTTCTTAAATTACTTTCTTTACACTTTCATTTCACTACTTAAATTACTTTCATTACTTTCTTCACACATATTTATAAATAATTTATCATCATACCTATCTGGGCTATAATTACTGGAATTTCTGTTTCAGTCACTTTTTACAAGTAAAAATAAGTATTAATAAGAAAATGTTTTCATGCTATTTTTAGCTTAGTTATTCAAAATGTGAACTTCTTTTCTTCAGATTTAAGGTTACCAAGTTAAAAGTTAAATGCTATTTGATTAAAAAAAAAATGGTCTTATGCATGATAATGTCTTGACGATGCAGCTCTCTCAACCATGTATCATCTTGTGTCATCAGCATACATAAGACACAGGCTGATGTCAGCTCAATACCATGTAATAGATTTCTGGGCCATACTGGGGGAAGAATTATTTAAAAATTATTTTAGGGAACTGTTTAGTGAATAAAATGTAATAAACACTATGAAAAGACCCATATCTAAACCAGAGCACCAAGACAGTTATAAAAATAATTAAAGAAAGAATACCAAATGCCACAGGAGGTGAAGATTTAACAAAAAATTCACTACATCATATTTTGGGTTATGTTAGACAGTATACTGAGATATATATGATGTTTATGAAATAAAAGAGGAAAAAGGTTATAGCATCTTTTAGATCTACTGTCTCTTGTTTAAATACTGGTTTTGTTTCCTATCAGTATTAGAGATAGAAAAAACTACAAAATATGTTCAAATTTTAAGTGACAATGTCCAAATAGAAGAGCTTGTCAAGCTACCTTTGTACGACAATGCTACATGCTAACATTTATTGATAATAGAAATACCAAGCATATATGTACTTTATTTTACTAGGGAAATGATTGTATCATTAAAACATATAGAAGTAAGTGGACAATATTAAGGGAAATATGTTCAGAGCTTAGGTAAGAGCTTCTTAGGCAAAACACAAATATTACTAGCCAAGGCTCCAAGACAAGGGAATAAGTACTAATTTACCAGTCTTTTGCTTCCTATGAATGCTATGAAAATATAGTTATGTCAGCTAGAAAACACAACTGCAGTAGCTCTTGAAGGCCACCAAGAACTTTATGGCATATAAATACTATAAAAACCCCGGTCTAACCATGGTGAATAGATAACTAACTGAGATATCAAATTATAGATCTAACAAAAGAATACTGGTCATGTTTTCATTTCTTATGGGAAGTTGATAATGTGCTAACAAAAAAATATGACAGTGGAAAACATAAAATCTATCTCAATGTGAGCAAAAATGATCAAGGAATACCTAAAAAAAATATCTTTTTAATAGTCACTCATATAATGGAGAGACTTAATAATTATACATTAGGATCACTACACTATATTTTTACAAAGGTTTTGCTAAGATTTAGAATCTATTTACCTATAAACTAGAAAAATAAATATTAAGGATTGTCTTTAAATAAAAAGACAAAATTCATGTTACTGACACTTGAAAAGAAAAAGCATAGCATAAAAATAAATCTATAAAAGTTCCAACAGCAAATTCACAATCTGTATAGTTATCAACCTAGCCAAATTAGAGGACAAAAATATTTAATGAAAGAATTATAAAAATACCAAGTATTAAAGCCATAACAGAATACCAATAAATTGTTCCCTGAAGCCATAATTATGATAATTACATACATTTATGCAACTATTTGTAAACTCCATGTAGATGTTTTTGCGCATGCAAAGCCCCAGTGAAGGAAAGTGATGCGCTATACTTCATTTAAGTAACACCACCTGTTATATAACAGACTGGAGGTTTAGGTGTTTCACCTAATCTACTATTTGTCCTTTAGTCAGTATTTGATACCTCTACATACTTGCCAAAAAACCTAGAAACTCTGTTCTCTAAAAACAGATTACCAATGCCAGGTGTAGTGGCGCACACCTGTAATCCCAGCACTCAGGAGGCTGAGGCAAGAGGATTGCTGTGAGTTCTAGGCCAACCTGGGCTACAAAGTGAGTTCAAGGCTAGTGTGAACTAAACAATGAGACCCTATATCCTGCCTCAGAAAAACCAAAATAGGATAAAGGCTGAAGTCTACCAGCTTTCTGTTTACCTGTGAGCTAAAAAAAAATAAAGAAAACAAATACTAATTCCAAGTACTGTACAATATTTCTTTTTTAATAGTCCCATAAGAAAAGCTGCATTATGAGTAACTGAATAACCTTAAATACACTTTGGAAGTAGGTAAGGTAATCATTAAGAAGATAGTAAGTCATTACATGTATAGAAAGAGACAAAGTAATCAGATCAAATTTCAATTACTGATGACTGTATTGTTTCATTCCTTATAAATTTCCACCCTGTTTTCAAATAGTCAACTTCCCTGAACTGAACTGAACTGAACTGAACTGAACTCTTCAGTTAGTTTTCTGGGACTCCAACACTTTATTCCATCCTTAATTATGCTGTAGAATTAGCTGAATGTCAAGCAGCCATTTCGACATAGAGCTATGAGGAGAAGTGAGTGATGTTCAAGTTCTTGAATGGATAGGAAGAAATCAGTACACACTGAAAACTAATAGTTACCAACTTATAACAAATTTTCTGCCTTGTATGCTATGACAAATTAGCAAACAATAACCAACCTATTAAGACAGACTACAAAAACTCTAAAAAACAGGTGAAAAAAAGTGGAACTCACTGTTCATCTGCTTCCCATGAATCAATATAAATTTCAAAAAGCCACAAGGCAATTTCGAAATATTTGGCAATGTTGCATTTATGAACAGCGTGCAAGGGTGCTACACACTCTACATGTTGATTAACCTATAATTACCTGCTTTAAAAAAAGACTACAACATAAAACACAGAATCTATTACCTTTTCATCCCTTCAAAAACTAAATACTTGTACAATAAATACTGTAAAACAACTTTTTAAAAAGTCCATAAGATTTCACTCCTTACATCACAGAAACAAAACCTATAAAAATTAGGGTTTCAAAACTAGGTACAGCACATTTAAAGAGAGTGAGTATATTGTAGCTATCACTTACCTTCTTCTCTAACATTACATATACAGTTTAAAACGGATGTTATATGTGTGCCGTGTGCCATGTATACCATCCATTATAAATGTTTGCTCTTAAATATTTAAAAGGAATATAATGAATTTTACTTAGTGCAAACAGTTGAAATTCAAATTAAAACCATCCTAACCTGAACTTCTATCCTCAGCAAACCTAAACAGAAGGTAAGCAGTCATAATAATTCTTTAAGTCAAAATATTTTAACAAGAAAACATTACAATATTTATTTGTAAGATTTAAATAAGATTTTCTATTTTAAAAGGAAAATTAAGCACAGATTAATTATTAATGGATATCACCACAACACCCTGTAGTACAGCCACTATCCTTACATATACATACATAAATATATATATTGCAATCATGACACACTAGTTGCTGGTGTAAATACTTTACAATACACTGTCAAATTTTAAAATGAATTACTTTGAGTGATTTCTCCTCATACAAATAGAAAGTCCCAGGAATGATTCACATAACTGTCACATTTTACAATTTTTATCTTTTGCAAAGTGGGAATTTCTTTTAAGTCTCAACACTTATTGACACCTATCTCTAAACACACACAAAAAGCTAAATAAAACAAGCTTAACTGCACAATAGCAACACCTGCCTGCATACAAAACCAACGAGCCAAATAAAACCTTCTAACTGAGGCCTGCTCTGAAACAGAGATATCTATAGATGAAACAGACTTCTCCACAACGACAGCATTAAGAATTAAGCTCTAAGAAAGTTAATAAACCATAACATATACTGAAATCTAGAAATTTCTTTTTCATGTGATAAAGTGGAACAAATAAAAACAATAGCTCTTTTAAAAAAATCTTTAACTTGTTACACTTGTAAGTCAGCACATTAATGTCTTACTGGTAAACTTGATGGTCTTTCTTGTTGTATTAAATTCAAGTCTTCATGGTTAGATTTTCCGGGGGCCAGAGGAGGTTGAGATCTAGTGCCATAGCCTTCCTGAGACATGTCCTAAAGAAACAAAAGGTACTTCATAAATATCTCAGTTTTAAGCTTCATTAGCAACCAAAATGATTTATCACAAAGTAACAAGTAATGTCACATTTCAGTTTATAAATGTGATAGCTATCATTTCTTTAACACTTTACCAAAAGCAAAAATGAATCAATTACAGAAATATGCATCAAATTAAAAGGTGAATTTATTGTAAGGCCATACTAAGCATTGTACAGTATTTGAGTTTTGCAGGAGGCTGACTAGTTAGTAAAACATGGGCAGGTCAGGTGTGGAAAAACTGTTTTTTAACCAGAGCAAATGGAAAATTCATTGTATTGCTTAATATTGATTTGGTCAAATTGCCTTTAATATTATTTTCAAAAATTTAAATAACTAATGAAAACTTTACTATCAACTGAAACTTAATATACCCTATCAAATACCCACAAAACAGGATAAACTGTTATTAAAGTCAGTATCCTTGAGTTTCTACAAAACCAATAAACATTCAGGTACAGAAGAATATGCTCACATGATATAATTTTCAGGAAGCAAAACACACCCCAAACACCTTCCACTGAGGGAAAAGAAACTGATCTGTTACATGGGCATTCTGGCATCCTCTAGAACATTTTTCCAAGATGCATGTCTTCAGCATTATGGTAAAATAATATTAATACAATTTAAAAGTCACTCTACACCACACTTACCGTATATTAAGTTTCTAGCTGTTTAACCATGTACACTCAGCTTTGAAATATTCTACTATCGTTTGCAGTTAAAGTAAAACAGCAGACCAGAATGGTAAAGACTTATTATAGCATGGCTCAACTGGCACTGAAAAGTTGAAGAACCAGTTCCTAATTGGACAGGGGGAAAACAGAGAGAGAGAAAGCTTAGGACTTAAAATTCTCTCCCCTTCCCTGTCAGTTCAAATGGTACTGGCATTAAAGAAACATCATATACAAGTCCTACTTCTCCTATTAAATCTCTAAAGATTGCTTGGAAAATTAATGTTTATGAGGAAACCCTATAAAAAGCTTCTGCTGCCCCACCCCTTTCTCATATACTATATACACTTCAAATTACTTGGCTTCTTACATCTAGCAAACACTTGACTACAGCCTGGTACTACAAAGTATACAAGATGCAAAAACTAGATTTTACTAGCTAATACTAGCCCAGAGCTGGTGCAACTGCCTTTAAACAGACTCCAAAATAAAGGAGTAGGCCAGTAATACAGCATTTTTCACATGCAACCCTTACTCTTTATTCATTCTCCCCCTCCCTCTTTTTCTCTCTCCCTCCTGGTGTGTGTGTGTGGGGGGGGGGGTGGAGTTACATAAAATACCACTTGGTACTGTACTTTGGTAAGAGAATTCAAACACGATTGTCAGGCGTTTTTTCTTTCTTTTTATTTTTTTTTTTCCCTCTCCTGGGTAACCACAATAAGGCAAGGTGGGAGTAAGCCAAGGACACTTGAGGGGGCAGATCTTCAATCTGGTTGCCAGAACAGGGTAACAATTAGACTTGGGGGGGACAAAAACAAGAGCTGAAGGATTATTACCACCCTCACCAACCTTCCCCACAAACCACGTTTCTGGCAGATCCTATGTTTCCGCTTGTCACAGAGGCTTCCTGCTGTGTGCCCTGCAGTTCCCTGCGATTAACAGCCAGGATTTCCAATCAAGTGGGGCACACGGCCTCCATTCAGGGGCGTATACCCTGTTACAGAAACACACAAAGGGACAGGACAGCCTTACAATGGGCAAGGAAGTGAGCAGGACTGCCTCCGGTCATACACACACGTGCTATGGACAGTACCTAGGTCTTCTTTAGTAAACTTTAGTGCAGAGACAGCAGTGGGCTTGCATCTCACATGCTTCCTAGCCTTTTACATGGCTCTGTATTTTTTCTTTGTAGCAAAGGAACTATCTTTTAAATATGAGAAAGACACTACAGAACTATGGTGGATACATATTCCAATTTACATACTGTCCCACCTAAAACAAAACAATGAAGTAACAAATTGCAAACTATCAGAAAAATTTACTATGCCTTCACGTTTAAGGATTTAAAAGATTAAAAAAAATTCAAGATTATTAGATTCCACTAAAATCTCAAATATTATCCCTAACCACAAGAAGCTTTCAATTATGAAACACTGATACAAATAAAACAAGGTAAAATTTAGAGAATGGCTGAAAAGGGAAATTGTTTGAGCATGAGGACTGATTTAACTGAGAGCTCACAGAAAAGGTATGAAGTTTCTAATGTATACTACTTATTACCCATAAGTAATATAAGGAGTCTATAGTTGTTCTTTAACAAAGAGGTAAAATGTTGTGTCCCATAAGGAAACAGGCCTTTTGTCATTCTAAAAGTATTTTATTTGCCTTTCCATAATTTTTTTAATGTGTTACTAAGTCCTTTTCATACAACTGGAGAATATTTTGTGTAGATGCCACAATTTTTGGTCCCTTAATGTCTTGTATAGCTCATTATATATCTGCAACTAAATATCTATTTTATTCTTTTTTTTTTTTTGGTTTTTCTCCGGTACCAGGAACCGAACTCACAACCTTGCGCTTGCCAGGCAGGCACTTTGCCGCTGAGCTAAATCCCCAGCCCTATTTTATTCTTTTCTTATGGTGATATAATATTGCACTATTTGTAGAAGCCCTACTTACTTAACAGTCCCTAACTGATGTGCATTTGTTATTTCCAATCGTTTACCACTTTATACATCCTCATGCACACATTTTCACGTAAAGTATTTCTACAGCATAAATCTATGCAAGTGAAACTTCTGTCAAAGGGCTGGTACATTTAAAATTCTGATAGATCCTGGCAAAGTGCTTTTAACAAAGTTAATATTAATTTACACTCACAGTCCATTTCAGACTAGAACAAAACTTACTCAACATGTTTGTTTGCATTAAAATATATCCAATCATATTATAAAACGTAGAAAAATCGAAACAGAGGAGAGGTGAGTAGATAAGTTATTAACTGCATCCTCCCCCTCAAAAAGAAGAATTTGAGAGCATATGGACTATAAATCAAAGGAAGAATAGACAAGGAGAAGGAACACCTCTATCACTACCAAACAAATGACAGTAGGACTAAGTAGGAGGTCAATGACAGTGCCTCCAGAAGTTGACAAATCTGCCTGCCATAATACTTCAAAGGAGATCTCCAAATTAGAAACAAAAAGTAACAGAGGGCAACTCTGGCTTTGGGATCTGGAATACAAGACAATACTCATCATTATAGAAAAGTTTTTCCAAAGATCTTGTGAAGTAAAGATGTACTACACAGAGACTAAAGAAAGCCCAGGGTGAGGGAACATGCACCCTCACCCTCATGAAATCCTATGTTATCTAGGTCAGAAGAATCTCTTGCTCCTTTTCTTTCATCAGTTCCTAAAGGGAAATCAGATATTGTTCCGGCAAGTAAGATGTTTTAGTTGGACAGGAGGACCACACCACCCTACACAGATGCCTAGAGCTAGGGGTCAGCAAGGCTCTGAGAAACTGCTCTGAACTTGAAGAAATTTAGTGTCTTATGATCATGCCTTATTTTTCCATCTGTAGATAAATGTCAAATATCTTCTCCAAAAGGAGAGCAATGTACAAGAATGGCATACTCACCCCTTTGCTCTCTCAGAAAAGCCCCAATGGAAATATAAACAAGGTGAGCTGACACATGCAAGAGGTGCCTTTGTGACAAGTGGTGAGCATAGTTTGTCCTATCAACCACCCATTAGACAGTTCCTATTAGTATTTTGGTTTGTACAATGCAACAAAATTTTAACAAACATTTTGCAACCTACAATGCAAAAAAATTTAAGTAACTTGCTTAGCTAGTATGTGGCCACAATGCCAGGGTATCTCACAAGGATGGATGTATTTCATTTGTACAATAGGGCATGCTTGGGAAGCTACAAATACTACTGTAGAATAAATAATTTCATATAATTTAACCTTAAAGGTATCCTAAGCTTTTACGTATTCTCCTAAATATACTTTTCAAAAAGTATGTTTAAAGACTTTATATGTAGTTCTTGAAAAGTATAAGCTTCAGGACTGTCAAAAACACTCCACTGCAGTATCATAAATAAAGAGTATTTAAATTAAAGATAATGCTCCCTACCACCAGTTATCATCAGTTAACAAAACCCACTGGCTGACAGGAAGCAAGACAGGACCATTACCCAACCAACTATATTCTTTAAGGCCCTTCTGTTGGCTCCTCTCTTTCTGCATGCCTCTAAAAGCTGGTGGCCTCTCATCCTTACCCTAAGGACTCCACACTGACCTCCACCTGATGATCCTACATGTCTACTTCTGATCATTTATGATTTAAGTGCATGATTAAATTAACACTGATCTGTAGAGAGAGCCTCTTGTACTCTTCCTGCCCAGATATGACTTTCTTAACCATGCCCTCAATCTTTCACCTTCCTCAGGACCCACTTCCCACATGGGACTCCTGAGAGATGCCTCACACACATTATCTCTTCTGTAACCTTAGCTAGACTCTGGCCTCATTTAAGATACCACAGCCACTGCTGTGGTCCCTCAGGGCTTTGCAGTCCCTGCACTTCCCATCTCTATACCTACAGCTCTATGGGGCTGCTCCTGAGTGGACATTCTGCTTTCTCCTTTGTCTACAGAGCACCAAGGAGTCCCACCATACTCCTCATGACAAGTATCTAAGGCCAATTTCAGAAATAATACCTTTTAAAGCAGTTTCTTTTGCTTTCACAATATCTACTGTACACATCAGATTTTATTTACTCTTTCAGGTTCTTATACTAGGGAGACAATATGATGTTTACATGTGAGTCTGATTTATTTCCCTTATATGACTATGGTCTCTAGTTCCATCCGTTTACCTATAAAAGCCTCAAGTTTATCTTTCTTTATAGCTGAGTACTACTCCAATTGGGATGAGGGAAAGGAGAAAAGAAATAAATATATATATATATTATATATATATTATATATACAT